ATTGTGTTAAATGAGAAAAGCATCAAATATACCTTAAGTAGCTTTAGAAAGAAACTAAAACTGGCAGTAATATATATATATATATATATATATGATGCATTGAAGGCATACAAACAAACATAAACAAAATGTTTATTTAAATTATCCTGTATATAAATTGTATTTAGAACTGTATTTAACAACATAATTGTTGTTAAATACAGTACTAAATATACTGAGTACTAAATATACAGTACTAAATATACCCTAGACTGAGAAAAGTAGGCTTTGAAATAGTGTTCACTCAGAAATTGCAAGTGAATTTTACAAATAATTACAAAGAAATGGAGAAACACGTTGAATTAAACATGGAATTTTGAAGTAGAAAGAATGATTTAGTATTTTCTTGTAAAAAGTACTTGTTTTATTTACAACTTTCGACATTTTCACTATCTAGTTTGATTCAATACAATTCACCAGTAAAAATAAAATCTGGTAAAATATTTAAAATACTACTAAAATAAATCACATTTTGCATTGTTTTTTTATTTATTTACAACTTTCGAAATTTTCACTATTTAGGTTGAACTTTGATTCAATACAATTCACCAGTAAAAAAAAATCTGGTAAAATATTTAAAATACTACTAAAATAAATCACATTTTGTATTGTTTTTTTTATTTACAACTTTCGACATTTTCACTATCTAGTTTAATTCAATACAATTCACCAGTAAAAAATCTGGTAAAATATTTAAAATACTACTAATTTTTTTTTTTAATAAAAACAATACAAAATGTGATTTATTTTAGTAGTATTTTAAATATTTTACCAGATTTTTTTTTACTGGTGAATTGTATTGAATCAAACTAGATAGTGAAAATGTCGAAAGTTGTAAATAAACAAGTACTTTTTACAAGAAAATACTAAATCATTCTTTCTACTTCAAAATTTCATGTTTAATTCAATGTGTTTCTCCATTTCTTTGTAATTATTTGTCAAATTCACTTGAGTGAAAAAAGGCTACTTTTCTCAGTCTAGGGTAAATTTTACCTGGAACATGTTCTGAATAAGAACTTTAAGATAATACAGGGTTAATTTAACTGAAGGTCACCGTATGGTGTACCTGATGTGTTGCTCCATGTGTTTGTGACAGAAATCGGCGGCGTGTGGTCCTCCGTGCCCGTCAAACACAGCGAAGTACAGTATGTTATGCGCGAGCTTGCTCACTTGGAAACGGTCCTCGTTTTCCTGCCGGCGGCCGATGTGGGAGGCGCAGCCCACGTTGGAGAGGCTGACGTGTGGGATGGGGGTCCCGTAGCGGATGCTGGGCGGCAACTGGATGGGCTCCTCTATCCGGTTATCCCAAATCCCAAAGGAATCCCACGTGGCTGGACGCCCGCTCCCGTCCATGTCCAAGCGTGTGCTGTTCAACCGGACTCCGGGAACGGTCGGCTCGCACACACACCTGGCTGGACGCGTGTTCGCGCTCCGGCCCACCGTGGGGAGGCTGCGTCGGAGCAGACGGGACAACGAGACGGACATTCTGTTCCTCAGCACACTTCAGATATGACTCCTGAGATCAAAATAAAGGGGAACACTTTGAAATAAGGTTTCATTAATCACATACACACTTAGATCAAACACTTAAATCACTCTTGCCACTGCTGGAATCATGGATTTACAAGTTTGCTCACTACTGCACTATGTTGGTTTGTTTGTATGTATGTCTGACTGACTGTTAAAAAAAAAACAATAAAAAAAAAAAGAAATAAGGTTTCATTTAGTGCTGTAAAATCGATTAATCGCGATTAGTCGCAATTAATTGCGTCTAAAATAAAGGTGTGTAAATAAATATATATGTGTGTGTTTGTACTGTATGCGTGTATATATGTACACAGTGTATATATCTATATATACACACACTATATATTTATAAACTTATGTTAGACTCAACAAACAACTATTCGCGATTAATCGCATCTCAAATAAAAGTTAGTAAATATATATGTGTGTATACTGTATATCAAACATATATTACAAAATATATTTGTATAATTACAAACATTATATACAAAAATTTATGTGAGATGCTATTAATCGCGATAAATCTATTTAATTGGATCTAACATAAAAGTTTGTAAATACATAATGTGTGTGTATATGAAGAGTTCAGATGCAAAAGCCTCTAAGTGCCATTTGAAATTTTCTTCTTTAATGATGATTTTTATCAAGCTTGTATATTTAAGTTCAGTGATTTCACTTAAATGGCAATGATAATTACATATTAATTGTTATTTAAGTGAAATTACTGAACTTAAATATACAAGTTTAATAAAACTCATCATTAAAGAAGAAAATTTCAAATGGCATTTAGAGGCTTTTGCATCAGAACTCTTCATATATACACACACACATACAAACGTTTATGTTAGACGCGATTAAATAGCTAGATAATAAATACTGTTTATCACTTCAAATAACTCATTGTTAGTTAATGCATTAATTAATGTTAAGTAATGAGACCCTTATTGTAGTTGTAGTGTTTGCCAAGTCAAAACAGACTCCAAATCTTTTGCAATGTTTTCAGATGATGCAGACATTGGGCCGATTTCAGATGATGGCAACATAATCATTAATATTGTAATATTATCCTTATTCTGTAATTACAAGAGCACAAGTTGTAACTGCAGTATAAAGTTAACATTACTGCTGTATATCACATTACTGTCTTTGACACACTCATCTCTGGATGATAACTGAATACTTCATTGAAACAAGCATTTTCTATAAAGCTGCTTTGAAACAATATGTATTGTGAAAAGCACTAAAGTAAAAGATTTAATTGAATTGATGACTTCTTCAGGTCAAGTTCATGTGAATCTGCTGTGCGTCACACACACACACACACACACACATGCTGACCTTTGTGAGAAGTGTGTGTTTCCTGTCAAAACAAACACATGACATTGCCAGCACAAATGACATCACTGGGTCAGTAATTCATCATCACAAGTGTTCGGAAATAAATGGATAAATTATGTTGACATTTGACATTTCAAAATGCATATTCTTAAAGATTTGCAGTGATGTAAAGCATATTTTCTTTTTTGCACCATATAGCCTATTATTTAAAAAAAAAAAAGTTTTTGCTGATTTTACATGTACTGCAGTGCACTTTTGATTCATTGTATAAAATAAATAAATAAATACTTATTCAGCACTTCTGAACTTTTTTAAGTTTAACTTTATGTAGAACAATGTAATTTGTAAACATATTGGATACATAAATCTTTTCTTTTCTAAACTTTTCAAATTAACTTCATACTCGTAAACTATTTTTAAAAATGACAGTAAAACTGTACAACAAACAAGTTCAATATATCCAATATGCACAGGCCTACATAATAATAATTCGTCGGACCAGATTTCGTCAGAAAGCTCTGAATGTCACCGCTCGATACACAAAGCAAAACTCGTGAAAAAGATTTACAGCAACTTACCTGCGTCAAATAACCAGGTTTATCATTTAGTTGACAAAGTTATTGTCCGTCCAAAAAAAGTGAGCTAGACAGCTGGAGTGACAGGGTGTGTGTCAAATCAACACACTCCAACGCTACTAGTTAAACTGATAAACTAGTCTTACTCCAGGGGGCGTTGACGGCTCAAAAGCCCAATCAACATTTGAGCTGCTTTTAAATCTCAGGATATACTTTGTCAGTAAAGAGACCTTTGTATACTAAAATTTATGAACTGTTAATTCAATTAATCTAAAGAATTTGAAACATGAGCTAATAATGAGAGTACGCCGCGGCAATGTTTACAAAATAAGTCTGACCATAAACATAAACGGCTGTGATTGGTCGATCCTGAGCAGCGCTGAGAAAAGTAACACATATCAAATGGCGAAGGACTGATTCAGAAGCGGTCAGGAAAATAAATAATACCAAAATAATGACACAGAGGTACTTTAATAGTCACTAAAGTAAATTATACAGTTAATAAATTATTATTTAGACTTTTTTTCCTGACCACTGCGAGCTGCTAACCCCTTTTCTTCATCACATTCCATTACACAGATTATCCAATCACAGGCCGCCTCTATCGTCGCTCGTCCAATCAGATGAGGGGGTGTGTGAGTGTTTGGGCCAGGCACTCTCGCTGACTGACATGAGTTTGATGTACTATTTCGTTTGTTTTCTGTAAATGAATTCATCAAACCAAAGGATTCTTTGTTTTAGTATTCCAACATAAATACAGATTTGAGAACATACGTCCCCAATAGAAGTATTATGATTATTTAAGATAGAAATGCCTTTGAACATCTATCAAAAATGTGTTACGGCCCCAAATATATTTGATTTAAAAATGCATTCGGGGCATTAGCATTAACACTGTGTGTGTTTTGGCCTCTTTCTTTCACACACGCACACACACAGATGGATCACAGCATGTTTCCGCTGTAAACACAGCAGAAGTCCTGAATAAAAGATCAGCAAGTACTCAGAACAGATACATTTAAATACACTATAAATAACTCATTCCGTTGGAGACCATAAAGTTTTCTTAAGGAAATAGCTGCACTTGCAAGGTAGCAAATGTGTGAAGGTTTAGGTTTAGTAATAGCCTATACTCTTACAAATTTAGCAGAATATAGTGTGTATCATGCCAATCATATTGCACAATATACAGTAAGTTTTAGGCTAGTATTCCATTCCATAAAAATACAACAATAAATGGTTACATTTGCATATGGAAGAAAGAGCAATTACAATACTGTGCAAATATTAAAGGTCATTAGGAGATTTTCAAACCTTACATTTCTGAAGAAATGAAGCAAAACTAGAACTGCACACCTTAAAATGAGTCTGAATGAAGTTTGTGTTATATTGTTTGCGTCGAATTGCAGAAAATATTTACTGCTTATAGTGTTTGAGGTTTTGAACAAACACTAAATGAAATGTTTGAGGAACATCAGAAAGCAAAACAGAAATATTAGAGATATTACACCATTTCTCTGAAGTAAGTAGGGCAGATGCTCCATAGGGTCCATGATATCGACCGAACACACGACTCAGTAGATGTGTGTGTGCTTACACACCTGTGTGTTTGATTTACTCTGAGTGCTGCAGATACAATATCAACGCGGCTCGACTGAAATATTTAAAGCTGGACTCAATTCAGACATCATTTAGAACAAAGATAACCCAATTTGAGTCAATATCTACGCCTTGCTCCCTCACACGGAAAATATAAAATATTCAGTAGACTTCACTTAAGAGCTCTGGGCGGAAACACAAAGACCCCATTTAGTCAAGTCCAGGTACAAATAACATGAAATCACACACTAATCACAGTGCTCAGAAAACAAGAACCAGGCTCATACACAAGGTGTTTTAACTATATTTCTGTTTGTGCTTTAACATCAGACACAGATCACATCATCTAGAACATTACAAGCATTATTTTATTCCATTAAAGTGCTCTATAGTGATTATCAGCGCAGCATCGTGTACCTCTAAAGGCTTTTTGCAGTGATAAAGCAACTGAAAGTTAATCTTTTTCAATGAGATTAACATCTGCCAGCATTAACAGTGCTTAAAGTTGTTTAGGTAAGTGAGTACAAAGTAGAGCTGCACGATTAATCGTTAAAATCTCGATTCAAACACCCACACGATTATTCCTAAATGACAATGATTCAATTTATTGCTTCAATTAAACTTTTTTTCGAACATAGTATCCCTATTTATGTTACAATAATTCAAATTATCACAGAAATACTGGGATAAAAGTTTATAGTTCGCATATAAACATCGGTAGTGATAAAAATAAACCAAATCACTTTTTGAAAGTAACTTGGTGCTTCAAATTACGATTGTTTCATTACATCGTTACACCAGTAGGTGGCGACAAGTGGCTGTTAAAATGTATTTGACATTGAATCATTCACTCAATAGATTCGTTCAGAGTCGAGTCAAGTCACCGGCTTATCGCCACCAGTAATGAAACAAGTCTTTATGAGGGAGTCATTGAATCGTTCATTCAACCAATTAAAAAAACAAAATTCATTCTAATTAATTAAACATTTTAAATAGGCCGCAGCAATTAATATTTTGTCAGAACCTCTAGTAAAATACATTTTATTCAGTAGTAAAAGTGATTCTTAATTTATCCAAAATCGTGCAGCTCTAGTACAAAGTGACCACAGTGACTGAACATGGTCAATGCTCTCATTTAGACAGTAATTACCCGTTCTGTCCCTAAAAACATTATCATACAGAAACTGTTTTCAAACCAGTGCTCATATTAAATCTATAAAGAAGATTTTTCTATAAAAAAAGAATAAAGAAAAGTGATAAACAGTTGGTTTGGAAAATGTCTAGCTAAATATAGTGACATTAAGTTAATACTGTGAAGACAATATACACTTTATGTCTGTGCAAAATTGAAAAAAAGTAATTGAACTTTCAATAAAGTTACATAATAGTATTAGTGAACGATTCACTCGTAGATTAATATTCAAGTGAACGCATTAACTCAGTCTAAAAGGCTAGTTCACATCACTTCAAACAAATACCAACATTTCAAATATTCTAATGTTGGATGTTGGCTTTAGAAATGGGAAACGCAATTGCAATTTCCATTCTGCCCCAACAATATCTGAAATATGGAGTTTGTTGAGTCAGAGAATGAGTCTTAAAGGGATAATTGACCCCAAAATGAAATATAATCATATCCATCCAAAACTATACAAGATTCATTCTTCTGTGGAACACAAAGGTCTCAGTGCCGTTTTGTCAGTACAGTAGAAGTCAATGTTGTCCAGTGTTGTTTTGTTCCCAAGGTTCTTTAAAATATCTACTTTTGTGTTCCATAGAATAAAGAAAGTCATGCAAGGTTTAGAAGAACAACATGAGGGTGAGTAAATTATGACAGAATGTTCTTTTTTTGAGAGAACTATCACTTTAAGAGACATTTAATAACCCTCCAGAACCAAAAAAGTGGGGCTTATTAACTGAACCTTGAAACGACAAATGGGACACTCTACAGGCTCATGCACTTCGTAGGCAAGAACATGCGAAGGCCATGAGACTGCAAGTTTACATGAAGTTCGCCATTTTGAGACTTGGCCATTGACAAGAAGTCCTTTCAAGACCTTCAAGTTCATGTCTACATATTTTTTTTTTACTTTTTTGTATCTGCTATACATTCCCGGTCTAGCCCCCATCTATAAAATATATTTACATATAAATGGGTTACACTTTATTTTGGTAACCCACTATACACACTATATTAACTAAAAGTAACTACATGTCAACTAACTTTCATTCATTTGCAGATGTCAACTAAAGTAGCATTTCTACCCAAATTACCCAGACAAATTTGTCCCAGGTACTTCTTCCCCCTAAGTTAACATCAAGATTAGGCATATTAGTTTGGTGATGTAGAACTGTGCGCTACTTTTCAATACTCTTACTACATGCACCGCAACAGATTAAAAAAAATGGTGGTCGAAATAAAATGCTGCGTGGAGAAAACCAATCAAAATGCTACGTGAACTCAGCGCCCAAGTCCCACCTCTGAAGGTTCCTGAACTTTGTAAAAGTACTACCTTGCCAGCAGAGACTTTCTTTTACCCAGAACTTAATTTAGACCTCACTGCGGTCGAAACACACCGAGTACCACAACAAAGTTCCTAGTTCCTGGGGAAAGTTCCTGCGGTAACTCTCATTAGAGTATTAGTAAACTGTTAGGTTAGGGTAATAGAATAAGTTGGCATGTAGTTGCAAAGTTTCTTATTGTCAGTAAAATGTCTGTTGGGAGAATCAAAATAAAGTTTCAGCAGATAATCTCTAATAAGAGTTGGTTGACATGTAGTTGCAAAGCTACATATAGTTAAATTAAAGTGTTACCAAAAAAAAAAACGAGTTACTTTGGCAGTTCCTCTTTAGGTTGTGGTTTCGAGCAGCAATTAGATCCAGAGAACAGTGATCTGAAGACACTCTTCTTCCTCTTTCCTGTCCTGCCCTTTTCAGGCAATTGTTCAGAGAGGCATATGGAGTTCCTGAGTGTGCTGATCCGCCGCTCGTGTTCACGGATCTTGCACTGCAAGTGGTTCTGGATGGCAAACCCCAGCGATTCCATATCCAGTGACGCTCCATACACTTCCCAAGTCATTCCCTGCTCATCCCAGATGACCTGCTGAGGTGCACCACTCTCCTCCTTTTCTCCCTCCACTTCTCCTGTTCCCCCAGCATTGAGGGGTTTTAAGGAGTCCTCAGAGGACTTGTTCATCACTCCGGGCAACAGTCGACAAGTTGTGTCCAATTCACCAATGGTTACTTTCGAATCAAGACTCTGGGGTGACTGGCTACAAAGTTCAATCTCTATTTGACAAACATGTTGTAGAGGTTTCGGGCTATTGGGAGACTTGTAAGGGGCTGGACCTAGAAATCTAGGCTTGGCTCCCGTTGGTCTGAGGTCTACAGTTGGCAACCAATCAGAGTCAGAGTTGCTATCGGGCCGGAGATCTTTGTTTAAGCCCACTTTAGGGTTGAGGTCAATCTCAGGGTTCAGTTTAAGGTATTGAGAGTCATGGACTGGACTCATGTCTGTGGATTTGCTGCAAACCTCCATGACCGCCTGGACCTCGACGTCAACGTAAACTGGGTGCAGATCCACCTGTAGTGCTGCATCCTTTGTTTCGGTCACTAGGAAACCTTTAATTGTCTTTGTCTCTGCATTGTTCAATTGCTTGGATGTCGACTTCTTATCCACTTGGAAAACCTTAATTGTCTTTGTCTCTGGATTGTTCAATTGCTTAGATGTTGGCGTCTTATCCACTTGGAAAACATTAATTGTCTTTGTCTCCGGATCGTTTAATTGTTTGGATGTTGGCGTCTTATCCACTTGGACAGCCTTAATTGCCTTTGTCTCTGCATCGTTCAATTGCTGGGATGTTGGCGTCTTATCCACTTGGAAAACATTAATTGTCTTTGTCTCCGGATCGTTTAATTGTTTGGATGTTGGCGTCTTATCCACTTGGACAGCCTTAATTGCCTTTGTCTCTGCATCGTTCAATTGCTGGGATGTTGGCGTGACTGGCGTCTTATCCACTTGGACAACATTAATTGTCTTTGTTTCTGCATCGTTCAATTGCTTGGATGTTGGCGTCTTATCCACTTGGACAACCTTAATTGCCTTTGTCTCTGCATCGTTCAATTGCTTGGATGTTGGCGTCTTATCCACTTGGACAACATTAATTGTCTTTGTCTCTGCATCGTTTAATTGTTTGGATGTTGGCGTCTTATCCACTTGGACAGCCTTAATTGCCTTTGTCTCTGCATCGTTCAATTGCTGGGATGTTGGCGTGACTGGCGTCTTATCCACTTGGACAACATTAATTGTCTTTGTCTCCGGATCGTTTAATTGTTTGGATGTTGGCGTCTTATCCACTTGGACAACCTTAATTGCCTTTGTCTCTGCATCGTTCAATTGCTTGGATGTTGCCGTCTTATCCGCTAAAAAGCCTTTAATTGTCTCGGTCTCTGCATCGTTCAATTGCTTGGATGTCGGTGTCTTATCCTTTTCGTTCATCACTGTATCCTTCCTGGCCTCAGTCACCATTTTGTCCTTAATCTCAACTTCCCCCTTTCTCTCTCCTGTCTGTCTCCTCGCCTCACTTTTTGCTTCCTCCTTTTCCTTCCGTCTCTGACTGCTTCCTGCGTGTCTCTCTTGGGTTGTGACATATGCGTCAGTCTTGTCTTCAGGCTCTTTCTGCGGTTCAGCTGCTTGTTTCGATGACAGAGCGGAGGTTTGTTTGCACCCTGGTGAGCTTTTCACGGTGAGGACTCTTCCACCGTGTCCCTGAGGGACAGTGTCCTCTCTTTCATCTCCTAGCGTTTCTCCTTTTCTCTCAATCCTGCTCTTTGTCTCTTGCTCCTGGCGTCCCTGAGGACTCTCTCCAGCTGCTTTCGCCCCCAGTTGCAGTTTGCTCTCCACCAACAATGGAGTGTCAATCATTTTATCCTTCGGAGAAGTCGAAAATGGTCCTTCTTTGCCTGTAACTCTTTTAATCCGCTCGGTTTTGTCCAATTTGAGAGATGCAGGGTGGGATAGTTTAAGTTTGGGGCTGGAAGTGGCTCGAGGAATTTGCGAGAGAGATGCCCGGTTGAGACTCTTGGGAGAGTCGTTTGAGGAAATCTGGGAAGCGGAAGCGGTTTTATGAAGCATCTTTTGTGGGGAGTCTGCGGAGCCCATTATATGAGATGCTGAGGCCGTCTTTTGGATGTTTTTGGAAAATGTTTTCGCACTCGCTTGTAGCTTCTTCTCATGGCTTGCATTTGGGGATCTGAGTTTTGGCCCACTGGGTTGAGGTTGAGTGGATAAACTTAAGACCTCCACTCCAGGTGCAGTTGCTTTGGTTGGTTGATTTGATGCTATTTTAGTTATAGCGGTTGTGTTGACTGTTCTCACAGTGACTTGCTTGGTCGTAGCCGAGTGCATGGTTGGTATTCTCGAGGCAGGGAGGGGTTCTGACACTGGATTGGTTGCTAATGCTGTGTGTTTTAGTGTTTTTACATGGCCAGCAGATTCCATGGAGTTGGACCTCTCCTCTAGCTCTTTAGCTTCTACTTCAATCCCATGATTTTCTCCAAGTCTTGTCCTGGTTCCAGGAGAGATGTTTCCCTTTCTGTGCTGTCCTGAGGGCTTGGACTCAGATTCCCAGCATGCCTTGGGCTCATCGTTTCTGGGCGGATGAAGGATAGCAGGTCGGGATTCCATGAAACCAATCCAAATGAATATCCAGCTCTGATTTAGTGATGTTTTAGTTGTGGGTATGACACATCTGTCAAGTGAAAAACAGCAGATTCAGTTAAAGCATTTGAAACACTATAAAATACTTTTTGTAGTGCCGGGCAATGGTTAATCGCATCCAAAATAAAAGTTTGTGTTTACATAAAACGTGTGTGTACTGTGTATAATTATTTTGTATATATAAATACACACTGTAACGCGGTTCAGTTGTTATGGGAAGAATAAAACATAAAAAAAACACAAACAAAACAAAACCCAGGCTCAGGCCTGGTCCTCTCTCTCTCTTCACTGTCATCATCGTTCAGTTAATAAAACGTTATATATTGATCTTTCAAGTAAAATTCACCAAATCTTTGCTATTTGGTGGATTTTCAAACCATTAGTGAGTTTTGATCTTGAGGCTTACTTAACAAACTTTTTACTTCTTTAGACTTTCAAATAGTTTGATTATTTGGGTGAAACATCTAAATGAAATGTCCAAAAAAAGGATAAACAAAATGATGAATTTAAAACAATTTTGACAACTTTGCCATACGGACACCAATTGTTTACACTGTACAATAAAACATGCAAAAGCATTTCCAATTCATCGACATAGAGCAAGATGAACAGAAAGAGAGGAACTAAGAGGCCCATCAGAGAGATGAAACCGCTGTTTCATTGATCAAACTTTGTAATTCACATGAGATAGATGGAAATGACAGGATTTATTGATTTTATGTCAATTCGGTTAGGTACTGTAAGTCCACTCCTGACGTAACGACTGTACATTCAAAGCCCAGCTACATTTGAACTATATCTTGCATTGCTTGTTATTGAATTAACTTGTTAAAATTACATTGAAACAATATTCCAGTTGCATTAGTGACTTAACCAAATGTTATTACTGCATGTTAGAATAATCATATATGCATTGATTTGAAACAATGTTTTTTAAAAATGAAACAAAACAAAACTCACGAAAGCAGGTTTTGCATGTTGGCTGTTTTACAAATGCAATCAGAGCCAGGTGAAAATATAGCAATTAAAAAACGACAACTCAAATTTTCCTACTATATATATATATATATATATATATATATATATATATATATATATATATATATGTAAGAAGAAAAAAACATAAAAGAAAAAAGAAAGTGTCCAGAACTCCCGTATTCTCCTATAACATAACAGCATGATGGGTAATAATTGTTGGCTACAGAGATTATCGACGACACCCATTACAAAGGACCGCGTAAACACTATCGCTTTACGTGTCATTAAAGTACACAAATGGACCACAAACACGTCTACTTGAATAAATATTACACGCACAATTATACTCACTATTAATGCCTCCCAAATCGATCCAGATGATGTCCATAATAGTGTGTGTTCTCTTCTGAAGGTTGATGCTGAAACTGTGGAGTGTTTTTCCCTCTCATGCTTGAATAAATGACGATACGCATCGGATGCGCGTGCACGAGCTGCAAGAGAAGCAGGGGTGACCCGCGCAATACAGCACACACGCATATTGATATAGTTTGCAAACGGTGCATTATGAGTTACACACTTCAGTAATAATGATGCTTGGCTTGCAACTGCTGAAAATTATGCTTTTGAAAGAGAAAATGAACAATGTACCCATCAAGATAAAATCATATTGACAAAATGTGTGCATTTACCCTCAAAGACACATAAAAAAAATATTCTGAGGTGTGATTCGTAAAATAATATCCACAGAACTTAACCATAACTGTATAATGACCCAAAACTAGCCACATATGGGCAAACATATTCTGGAATACGAATCAATTGTAGTTCTATAAATTGTTCTATAGTGATCCTTCCACAAAGGAAGATTTCTTTTGTTAACCTTTAATAGTTTAATTGCAATTTAATTAATTTAAAGACAAAGACACAATTTTTTTTTAATTAAACCAGTGTTAAAGTCTAAAATACAGCTATTGGTCAAATGCACCAATATTTAACCTTCTTTAACCTTTCCCAACAAACAGCCGGTCAACAACGGAGCATAATCGACGTGCATGAATGTGTGTGTTTGTGTGTGTTTCAGACTTGCAGTATGTACTGCTGGAAAATTGATCTGTCTAAAGCCGAGAAATACTGGGATGGCTGGTTTAGAGGGCCTGCAACGTCCCAAAACTCCTACTGCTGGCAGGCAAGAGGCACGGACCAATCAAATCACTTATCTGAACGAGTACGGCCAATCAAATCACTCGTCTTAATGAGTAGACCAATCAAATCACACACCTGAACGAGTAGGGCCAATCAAATCACTCGTCTGAATGAGCACGGCCTATCAAATCACACATCTGAATGAGTTCGGCCAATCAAATGAGTCGCCTGAAAGGGCACGGCCTATCAAATCACACATCTGAATGAGTTCGGCCAATCAAATGAGTCGCCTGAAAGGGCACGGCCTATCAAATCACACATCTGAATGAGTTCGGCCAATCAAATGAGTCGCTTGAAAGGGCAGGGCCAATCAAATCACACATCTGAATGAGTTCGGCCAATCAAATGAGTCGCTTGAAAGGGCAGGGCCAATCAAATCACTAGTCTGAACGAGCACGGCCAATCAAATCACTTGCCTGAACTAGCACGGCCAATCAAATCAAAACCGAATGATGCAGATGTGAGTTGCTGGAGGATAATTTATGTTTTTTTTATATTTTATTTTATTATAATTTATGTTCATGTATAAGTTAAAATGCTCAGTTGTGTCAGAGACCTGACCACTGGACAGATGCAGTGAGTGTTACTGACCAATAACTGACTAATCATACACTCATTGAAATCTGACAGAAGCATTGAAATCTGCTCCAGCTATCTATTTAAATCATTTAAAACGCCTGATCCATTAATCACAAACGTCGACCTGACCAGCATGACTTACTCACACGTTATGCAAACAAAACCATGTTTATCATCAAAATGCAATAGTCGTATGTTACTCTAAATTCAGAGAACCCGTCTGCATTTCGGCCTATTCTATTTCTAATGCTTCTGTAGGCAAACTGATCATGCAGGTGCTGCCCCCGTGTGGACACAGTGCGTGAGGACATCCCGGATAATGCAAATCTGTATAATATACACTCTGTTCTATTCAAGTTTTCAAAAGCGATTCAGTTCTCCTCAAATTAACAGTCATGAATTAAATTGATGAAAAGTGACAGTAAAGTCTGTTATAATGCTACAAACGATTCATTTAAAATAAATGCTGATATTTTCAACAGTCCAATCATCAAAGAATCCTAAAAACCCCCAAATGTTTTTACAAACATGTTAAGCGGCACATCTGTTTCCAACACTGATAATAATCAGAAATGTTTCTTGAGCATCAGATCATCATCTTAGAGTGATTTCTGAAGGATCGTGTGACACTGAAGACTGGAGTAATGATGCTGGAAATCACAGGAATAAATTACACGTAACTATATTCACACAGAACAACACAGCTGTTTACATTCTAATAATATTTCATTTTTACTGTATTTTAATCAAATAAATGACTGCACTTATTCTAAAGTTTTGCCTTGCAATCCAAGTTTTAACCTTTATAAATTATATAATTATGCACAAATGATTTATGATTTTGTTATTCTTGTACAACACGATGGATCACTGTTTTAATGTAATATTGGATTCAGTGCCTTTTTTCTGTATACTATATATATATATATATATATATATATATATATACAGTATATACATACATAAATATAAAAATATATATATTTGTAGTAAAATAACATTTAAAAGAGGAGAAATGTGAATGTGGTTGTGTGTCTGTCAGAGTCGAGGGTGAGTGACATTACACTGTTTTCTTGTCTGTAAATGATTGGTCACTGTGGCGTGTTTGTTGTGTAACATCTCTCTGCGTTCATACATGCGTTTGCTGTCTTTGTCCCTCAGATGAAGCGAAAACACACTGACAAATGTGCCTGAGTAAAAACATTACACTATCACAATAATCCAAAGATTATGTTTCAACCGTTTAGAATAAAGCTCGGAATGTCCATTAGCCGTTTTTGAATTTCCAGTTTGAACTGACAAGAAACATTGTAACATTTAAACGTGGCGGAATCATGTGACATCATCAAAGGCAACAGATGCACACACACACTGTAAATGAGAAGCACAGGGTTTAGCCCAAAAATCTGACATTAAAATTTATTAATATTCAAAGCACAGTCTGACCGAAACACGTGCAAAATACTGGGAACAAACCTCTACTGAGTGTGTGTGTGTGTAATACAGAGAGTGATACAAAATTGTGACTGAAATCCCAATTTCAAAATGAACTCCAACCTCTAAATACATAAAGTGCATGATGGAAAAACTTGGCAATTAAGGAGAAAACAAACAGCTCTTATTTACAATATACAGTCAAACCGAACGAACGAGGAAGAACGAGTTACGGAAAATGATCATCTATTCACCCTCATGTCTGAATATCGTGTGCACGTCGTCTGAACTACTTTTATAGTGCGTTTTGGAGCTTGACAGCAAAGAAAAGTGTCAAATAAAGAGATCCGGAAGGACATAAGGGTGAGTAAACAATGCAAGAAGGGTTACTGTCCCTTTAAACAGAATCCACTCAAATCAAATAAAGTGGACAGGGCATGTTGCATGCACAGCAAACATCACATGTCCCAGAAAGTCCCGCAGTTTTCCCTCACACAATATCCATCCAGGTCTTTGGTGATGCCCTCCCCCCCATCCCCCCCAAAAAAAGTCTAAATACTGAGATACTCTTTTTTTTCTTTAATACTGCAGATCTCGAGCACATATAGAAAAATAAACCACTTCTTATAGGATTTTAAAATAGTTCTTTCAACTGCGCTGGAATCACAGACAACGGCAGAACAGGCAGCGAACGACTGAACACACACACACAGGGGATGTCTGATTGTCGAGCGGAGCAGAACCGGTCGTCTGCCGAGTGCTTTAGCTCAAGTACATACTGTAGTGTGCACTTAGGGGCGAAGAACCCTGCTTTTCAGAGTGGAAAGGAAGATGAGCGTAACATCGGAGTATGTGCTCGGCAGGCAGTGTGTTCAACGGCGAGTCACTGGCCGAAGATCCTCTGAGATTAAAGCCCGTTCAACCCGCTCCGGGGGGCGTGGCTAAATCAACACTTGGGCTCGTCAGAGGGCGTGTCTATGTCCGAGTGCCCCGCCCCCAGAGCGAGAGAGCCCTCTGAACCCCCGCTGGCCATCGGCTGCAACTCGCCTGTGGAGGACAAACAACATCGACATTGTATTTTAATCCTATCCTTATTAATCAGCATGCAAGATCAGAATAAGTGTGATGGAAGTCCCCCTGTGGTGAAAATCCAGCGTTTAATGTGTGTATGTCAGTCCCTCCAGGATTTCACGATTTTTTTGTGTGATTTTTGCGATCAAAATGACTGATTTTGTCGTGGTAATTTCCAAAAATTTGCGATTTATATTTAACATTTACCATAATAGTATTCAGTCCTTCCAGAAAAACGCGGAGTTTTTTTTGTGATTGTTGCGGGCAAAAATTGATTGATTATGCGGCCAGTTTTCTTTAAAAATGCGATGGAATATGCGGGATATTTATGCAATTTTATGCGATGAAATTGCTGGAATTTGCAAAAATTGAGGGAACTTGCAAAAATTGCGGTTTGATGAAAAAGAGAAAAAAAGTGATTCCCCCAACATCCTGTTAATATAAGAGTCATTTCTTATTACTTCCTTTGATAAGCAAGCATACTACATCATAGAAAGTGCTGGGAATATTTAATTTCTCATCTTGTTTTATTTCAGACTGTAACGAGTGTAAATAAGGTGTGGCCCCTTTAAGAGCTGCGCGCTCCCTGTTGAACTCTCTGCAGTGTTATATGTGCGCCTCGAACACCCCATGTGTGCGGGTAATTTCTGTTTGATGATACTACTTTTATCTTATGTTGTTTATTAAGTAACGATGTGACAGTAGAACGTGTGACAGACAGTTATACGAGATCGATTTGTGAGACGTCAATCGCCTCCGTGAGTCTGTCAGGCGTCGCGTAATCGCGTCACTTCATAACGTTCCCATGGAAACAGGGGGAAATGGCTGCTCTTATGTGAAGCAAACGCAACATTTTTCAACTTTCTGCTAAGATACATGTGACTTTTTTTGCAACGAAAATGCGAGGATTATGAAATTATGCAAACCCCGCATATTTTGCACGGAAATCGGCAATTTATGCTGCGAAAGTGCGGCGTATTTGAAAAAATGCGGGCCCCGCATAAATATGCGGACTTTGGCTGATTTTGCATTGAATTCAGCGATTGCATAATCGCGTTTTTCTGGAGGGACTGGTATGTGGTGTTTTTAATACGCTTTAACACACACCATGTGTAAGTTCATAAGTCGAGTATTTTCTGCTTAAAACAAAAGACGTTTTGAAATCGCTGACGTCACAAACAACCTTGTAACCAATCAGATCAACGTGTGATAGACAACCAGTGGATCTCTGAGTGAGTGGAGGCGGGGCTCATTTGCATATTCAAAGAAACGCACATACTAAATGAGGCAAGGGTGTCGAGTTACAGTGCATTCAAGATATTTTGAGGCATGAAATCATTTAAACATGTAATTTTTGGACGCGTTTTAAAGGATACAATTATTTACTACAGTGGGACTTTCGCTTTTTGCTACCCACAATGCATTGCACTAGAGAAGAGGAGGACTTTTCTGGCATTGTGGATATCACACTTACTTTGTTCGGTTAGCATGGTGTCCTGTGACAGGGGCTCGGAGTCCAGGAGGACCTGAGGGAGACCCACCATCCTCACGCCAGGGTCACGCCCCCCCGCGGCATCCCCGCCCATGACATCATCACTCATCACCATGGCGTTGAGAGCCACGCCCCCCACGGCGAGCTCATAGTCCATGGGAAGTTCATTCAGACACTCGGCACTCGACTGCGCATCAACACATCTCAGTTACACTTCGTTCACAGAATTAACCGGATACACTTCAGAGACTTTAGCAGGGTAATTATAATTAAACTTAAAGCATAAAATAAACTTTCCTGACATGAAATCAAATTAACTTTAAATGAAACAAATTTTCTTAAATTGATTTACCTAAATATTCAGACACTCGACTGCACGCCAATATAACTCACTTGCACTACATTCATAAAATAGAGTTAAATGAACTTTTCCAGGGTTATTATAATTAAACTAAAACCATAAAATAAACTTTTGTGACTTGAAATGACTTAAAAATTAAACTCACTCGATTTAATAAAATAGCAAATGCAATCAAAATAATTGAATAAAAACTATAAACATAAAAGACAAATAAACTGAAATTAAAATGAAAACCGAAATATGAAAATAAAAAAAAATTAAAAATATTATAAAAACTATAATAGTATAAGTGTGTAAAAAATATAAACATAAATATATTAAATCATTAAATAATACAAGTACTTCTGTATTTTACTTCAGAAAGAATCGGCCTGTACAACGTTTACTTGTACACAAAGTTGTGTACTTTGTCTAGGGCGTCTAATTAATGACTACATTTTTAATTATTTTTTATTAATATATTAAAAAAAATTTATTTTTGGGTGAGCTGTCCCTTTAAGCTCATTTCTCTTTCTGGAGGACACAAAACAGGTCCAGACAGCACATGACACACACACTGTACAGCGGCGAGGAGAGGAACACACTCACCGTGAGGCCGAGGGCTTTGAGGATGTTCATCTTGCACATGGGACACGTGCGGTGGTCCACCAGCCAGGGGTCGACACAGCTTTTGTGGAATAGATGCCTGACAGACGAGAGGAACATGCGATCATCAGCCGAGAACAGACTCGCTCGCTCGAGCTCAGTTTCATTTCAATTCATTTGCAAAACATTCAGATTGGTTTGAGTCATCTAAATGGTCCTCTTTTAGTAGTAAAATTTAATAATTATGAATCAATTTAGATTGTATTAATTTTTTATTCATTATTATTCATTTATTTAAATTAGTAATATAATATAACATAATATATATATAATTGTAATAGTTGTTTTTCTGTTGTTGTCGTAAGTGTAATAAAACATAATTTGCAATAAATATACATAACATATCATACCAACGTAACATAACTTAGTGTAACTTGACATCATAACAACGTAATGTAACAACATAATGTAATGTAGTGTAATGTGACAACATATCGTAACAATGTATCAACGTAACATAACATAATGTATCAACGTAACAACAACGTAATGTAGTGTAACGTGACATCATAACAACGTATCATATCAACGTAACGTAACAACATAATGTAGTGTAACGTGACAACATAACAACGCATCATATCGACATTACATAATGTAGTGTAACGTGACAACATATCGTAACAATGTATCAACGTAACATAACATAATGTATCAACGTAACAACAACGTAACGTAATGTAGTGTAACGTGACATAACAACGTATCATATCAACGTAACGTAACAACATAATGTAGTGTAACGTGACAACATAACAACGCATCATATCGACATTACATAATGTAGTGTAACGTGACAACATATCGTAACAATGTATCAACGTAACATAACATAATGTATCAACGTAACAACAACGTAACGTAATGTAGTGTAACGTGACATAACAACGTATCATATCAACGTAACGTAACAACATAATGTAGTGTAACGTGACAACATAACAACGCATCATATCGACATTACATAATGTAGTGTAACGTGACAACATATCGTAACAATGTATCAACGTAACATAACATAATGTATCAACGTAACAACAACGTAACGTAATGTAGTGTAACGTGACATCATAACAACGTATCATATCAATAACGTAACGTAACGTAACAATGCATCATATCGTAATGTAGTGTAACGTGACAACATATCGTAACAATGTATCAACGTAACATAACATAATGTATCAACGTAACAACAACGTAACGTAATGTAACGTGACATCATAACAACGTATCATATCAACGTAACGTAACAACATAATGTAATGTAGTGTAACGTGACAACATAACAACGCATCATATCGACATTACATAATGTAGTGTAACGTGACAACATATCGTAACAATGTATCAACGTAACATAACATAATGTATCAACGTAACAACAACGTAACCTAATGTAGTGTAACGTGACATCATAACAACGTATCATATCAACGTAACGTAACAACATAATGTAATGTAGTGTAACGTGACAACATAACAACGCATCATATCGACATTACATAATGTAGTGTAACGTGACAACATATCGTAACAATGTATCAACGTAACAACAACGTAACGTAACAACATAGCGTAACGTAGTGTAACATGACAACATATCGTAAAAATGTAACAACCTAACATGACATCACATAATGTAACAACGCAACAACAGCGTAACATAATGTAGTGTAACGTTACAACATAACAACGCATCATATCAATGTAACAGCAATGTCACAATGTAGTGTAACGCGACAACATAACAACGTATCATATCAGTGTAACATAACAACATAATGTAATGTAGTGTAACGTGACAATATATCGTAACAATGTAACAAACGTAACATAACAACATAATGTAGTGTAGTGTAATGTTACAACATATCGTTTTAAGCGTACAGTAATTTTACTAAAAACATCTTGTTAGTAACTATCTAGTAGTGTAGTGTAGTAACTAGTCTAGTCAGTGCAGTCAGGTGTGTGTGTGTGTGTGTGTGTGTTTACCTGCAGGGTAAGATTCTCACTACATCATTTGGCTTATAACCTTCGATACACACGGCACAGTTATCAAAATCACTCTCCGTTTCCTAAGGAAAAATCACACACACACACACACACAGAACTCAGTATCAGCAGAAATCACTGGTTTAAAGAAAAAGATACTCTAAGTTTATCTGCTGTTCACCTGATCGCCTTTCCTGATGGTCCGCACTTGTAATTGACTGATGGCTTTTTTGGCAGCGTCGCCCAGTCTCCGCTGACCAATCAGAGAAAAGAAGGTGATTAATGAATGCACTTCTCCTTTGACCTCAGTCTGTTATTTTCTACATCCGTCTCTCTTTGTAGGTTTTTATTATTATCATAAAAGCTGTAATGAAGGGCTGTGTTTGCCTGTCGTTTTCCTGTGATGAAAGTCACTTCCTTTGGCCTGTAATCATGCTTTAGGGTCTCGCTCACACACACACACACACACACACACACACACACCAACATGCAAACTATGCAATAACAGTGGCGGAGCACAAGAATGTGGTTTGATGTCAGGACGGCACAAACTGGGTGGAAAAAACAAACAGATTTTTCTGATAAAATTTGTGATTACAATTGTTTGTAGGAATGCACAATTTAACCCAAATTTTGTGATTTAATAATCAATAAGGCTATAAAATATAATAAAAAAATTAATATTATGATACTACTTAATAAAAAAAATACTCAAAAAGTTTTTTTTTGGTTAATGTATTTAAGACAAGTATAATAATAATTTAGTTTTATATTACAACTGTAAAATTACAATACTACAACTGAAATAATAATTACAATACTACTAATAAAAAAAAATAAAAAAGTGAATAAAAAAATTGTAAATATTAATAACGTAATATTTCACTGTATAATAAATTAGAGTATAAAACTAACTATTTTATTTTTCATTACAACTATAAAATTACAAAATAATAAAAATTGTATTACTACAACTAAAAACTAAATTAGAAATTTTACTAATGTAATATTTCACTGTAAAAAGAAAATGTAATTATATTATATATTTATTTAGATTTATATATTTTACGATACTTTTATTTTACATTACAAATGTTTATTTATTATTATTATTACTAGATAAAAATATAAAAACTACTAAATAAAACAAAATTGGGAAAATTATACATGTAACATTTCATTGCATTTTTTACATTACAACAATAAAATTACAATACTAATATTTATGACTATAAATAATGTCATATACACCTGGGACGACATGAGGGTGAGTAAATCATGGGATAATTTTCATTTTTGGATGAACTATCCATTTAATTGCACAAAGCCATATTGATTTAAATGAATCATGCAGCCCTATTTGCTCTCCACATGGTCATTTTGAGCAAATATGTGTCTCTAACTAAGATATACGAACGATGACTGCGACAAGTGGACACTTCAGCTGCACTTTAAGCAGAACGGTTGTTAAAAGGAAGTTGATTGGGATGATTGTACCTGGTTGCGGTCCCTGGCGTTGGCGTATCTGAACCGCTGGATGTAGTAAAAGACGAGCCAGGCCAGAGAGATGATCATGAGGATGATGAAGGAGATGGAGACGAAGACCACGGAGGTGCGGCTGACGTATTTCTGGAGGTTTCGAGTTCCTATAGTGATGTGCATGTGAACCGTGATGTTCCTCTCCATCAGAAGAACCAGCTCGCGACCCTTCGGCTCGGGGATCATGATGGCCACCACATCACTCATGCCTGAAAGAGAGATCACCGTTAAGTTAACCAACCCCTAAACTAGAGGAATTAAAGGCAGCTTTTTCAGATTTAACATTTAATAAAGCTGTTTGTGGATGTAAAAGGACTGCAAAGATTCAAAAATCAAAGTGCAGATATTTGCAAAGATCTGCAAAGAGTTTGAACAGGAGAGTCAGAACAGAACAGAGCAAGGCGAGCATTTGAGCTTATAAAACTTGTACTTTTCTATTTATTTTTTAAATGAGCGATCGTTTCGCTTGATAAGACCCTTATTCATCGTCTGGTGTCGTTTAAAGCCCTTTGAAGCTGCATCTGAAACGGTCTTTTGGACCTTGAACCGTTTGGACCCCATTGAAGTCCATTATATGGAGAAAAATCCTGGGAATGTCTTAATTTCTTTTCGACTGAAGAAAGAAAGACATGGACATCTTGGATGACATGGGGGTGAGTAAATTATCAGCAAAGTTTTTTTTAAAAGTGAACTACTCCTTTAAAGGGTTCATACTCCTCAGATCTAAATAAAGGGCAGCGCACCCCCTTATAAACTGTATTTCTTTTATTAAACCAGGGGCTATCAAAAGAGCATAACACATTATAAACTGTCTTTTTATTAAACCCACAGCATACACGTCACAAACACTGGTATGCTATTTGACAAAGTAGGCTAAATTGACAGACCTCGCTATTAAACTCAACTTCCGGTATGTTATTCTGACAAAGCATGCTAAAAATTACACTGCCGTGCCCTGGTTCAAACATGTTCGGCTGAATGCCATACAAAACAGCGGGTCTCTCACATAGACAGTAAAAGAAGGTCTCTCACTCTCAGCCATCCTGCTTTTACGACTATTTATGCCATAGGAGTGCAAGTTACGGGCTCATCCAATGGCAGGGATATGCGGCTCATTTACATTTAAGGTGGTACACACCAAAACAGCTCTTTTATAAAACAGGCCCCAAATATGACACTTTCAAACGGTTATAATAAATTAAGTGTGGGGTATTTTGTGCTGAAGTTCACAAATATATTCTGGGGACACCCGAGACCAATATTACGTCTTATAAAAAGGGTAGGGATGCACCGATATGAAAATTTTGGCTGATACCGATAATTCTTTATATTTGAAAGCCGATAACCGATATATCGGCCGATAAACTTAAATCCAAATTTTTATCTAATTTTAAAAGCCTGATTACAAAAACAAAAGTCTCACAATTAAATCCATGTCCCAAGCGCACAATTATAATGATGTTCGCATTATAGTGTAGTATAGCCGATATGACAGATTTACGCTGCATATGTTGTACCGAACCAGATTTTCATTTTTTAAGAGATTTCAATCATATTTCAAGAAATTCAAAAACATAAACAGTCCTCAACAAGTGTCTCAGCTGAAGGGAATAATACATTATTTATCGGCTTTAATATATCGGCCAAATTTTCTTACCAGGCCGATAACGATAACATTAAAAATCAACATATATCTGCCGATACCGATATGCTGGCCGATATATCGTGCATCCCTAAAAAAGGGGCATAAAAAGTCACTTTAATTTATATTTCAGGTTTTATTAACAAACATGCAGTCAACATGCATAATGTTATATGCATTCAATATCACTCATAACTAGATTATGCAAACACTTATACACTGACCATTTCCGGCAAGTCCTTTCACTACTTCAACTCAAAACTTATTTAGTTGCCAAGGCAACTTATTTTTTTTAAATTTTCTACATTTTTAATGCAATGCTTAAAAATGAACAATACAATACAAAAACACATTTTTAAGTAGTTTTAGTCTTTGTAAACGATAATAACCCTGATTTAAAAGCAGTGAAAACCCTCTTAACCCAGAAGAAAATGCAAACTTCAAAGCGAGAATGAAAGATAGGGAACAAAGAGAGGAACTAAACCAGCAACATTTCTTCACAGGGTCGATGAGAGCGCCAGATAAAACACTCAGCGCTACACACACTTCCTCTGAGACGAGGAACGACCGTTCTCCAGCATCACGTCTAACACATCGCTCACGACTTCCAGCACAGCAGCGTCACACACACTCACACTCCGTCTTTACAGAGAACTTTCTGATTCAGAACACTCACTACTTTACTTTAACACAGAACCCATGATGTTACTCAAATAAATGACCATTTTAATAATACTTTCATATGACTGGAGACCAGTACAGAAGCCCAGTAACATGATGTGAAGTGTGTTTTAAGAGACACAGATTGAAATAAAGCAACAGGTGAATAATCCAAACTTAAACTGCCTTTGTTTACATCAGACATTTGTGGACAGAACTCACAATAAACCTCAAACCCCTGACCGACACATGTGCAATCACATTAATCACTCATCACAGCTGGACATACATTCATCATCACATTTAGGATTAGGAAGACATGCATTTACACATTCGTCATCACACATTTACCTAAACAAAATGAAATATACAATTACATGCATTCACTAACACACACTTAACGAGACATGCATTTACCATCACACAAAACACATTTGCACTTAATATCATAATATATGCATTCACCAACACACATAGCTAGATTTGCAATTATGCATTTATCATCACACCTCTGCACACATGCATAAGCCATCACATTGAGGAAGACATGCATTCATCATCACACACTTATCAAAACAAACAAACCAGCATGATGCATTACCTAATGTGCATATGTGATAAATGCAATGTGTGCTCTGCTGGTGAATGCATTTGTGATTTGATGCATTTGATATTTTTAAGAGCATATGCATTCACCAGCACACATAATTAAATATGCAATTATGCTTTTATCATCAGTCATCCCACATACATACATAATCCATCACATTTAGGGAGACGTGCATTTATCATCACACACTTGCATGACATGCACTCACCATTAGGCAAATACATAATTGCATATCTAGTTACATGTGCTGGTGAATGCGTATGTGATTTTGATGTATGCATGTGTAGTTATGTGTGATATTAAGTGCATATGCATTCATCAGCACACATATACAATTACGCAATTATCATCACACATACGCATGTATGGACATCAGCCATCACTCATAATAACTAGACATCTCTCGAGCGCACGTGCATTCACCTTGATGCGGCATGGTGATCGTCTCGTTGGGGTTGGAGGAGCCCACGTTGAATATGACCACAGCTGACGCGTTGTGTCCCACGGCGTGTCTGATTTTATCTTTGAACGTGCAGTTTCCCCTGCTGATGAGCGCGATCCACGCGCCGTGCGCACGCGGGGTGAACCTGCTGTTGGGGTCGCACGCGTGTCGGTCCTGCGTCGCGGCGGGCATCGCCAACACGCCCCTGGCCTCGCGTTTGAGCGAGTGCTCCCCGTAACGCCCGCACTCCGTCTTCTCAGTCCGCACCTCGGCCGTGTCCGGATCCACGTATGTGATGTTGACGAACGCCGTGTACCATTCCTCCTTCTCGGCCACCGTGAAGTCCAAACACAGCAGATGCACGAAGCAGAAGGACAGGAGCCAGGTGGACAGCGCCAGACTACGACACGCCTGGATCACAGACAGTGCCATAGCAGTATTGTTGTTATTGTTGTTATTGTGAGTCTAGCGGCCGCGAGTCGCGCGTTCACTCCATAATCTCCCTCTTTGTGCGTCTTTACGCGGCGCAGTAACCGACTCTCATGAGTTAACTGTATTAAACACGCGATTTAGAAGAGCGAATATTTGGATTAATGAACCCTAGAGCCTGTTGCATGCACCAGAAGCGCGTTGGCTGGGTTTAAAACGCGAGCAGAAGCGGTGCGACGGAGGCATGGTGTCGGATGTTTTCGGCCTTCAGCTGCTGTGACAAAAACCGAGCGCGAGCGGAGGAAACAGCGGCCACTAGCGGCGGAGCGATGATCTGCGCATGCGCGACACGAGAAGGGAGCGTCAGGAAATACCCGTTTTTATGATGAAGCGAAGCAACACTAGGGAGAGAGATAAAACAGTTAGACAATGATAAAAATATGTTGTTGTTTTTTTAATTAGCCCATGATTTATTCACCCTCGAGTCATATGAATATCTTCTTTCAGACTAATACAATCGGGGTTATATTAAAAAAATGGCCCAGCTCCTCCAAGCTTTATAATGATAGTGAATGGCTTTTTCTGTTTTGAAGTCCATAAAAGTGCATCTATCCATCATAAAAGTGCATCTGTCCATCATAAAAGTGCATCTATTCATCATAAAAATGCATCTATCCATCATAAAAGTGCATCTATGCATCATAAAAGTGCATCTATGCATCATAAAAGTGCATCTATCCATCATAAAAGTGCATCTCATCATAAAAGTGCATCTCATCATAAAAGTGTGTCTATCCCTCATAAAAGTGCAGATTGTCAAGTAATTATCCATCATGACTGTTACTTTGTTGAATTGGCCTACTGATTTATTTAAAAAAAACTTTATATAACACAGAATTGAAAACTGGATATTTCTCACGTCCATATTATGAGACAAAATACAGTACATTACATTATTGAGTACAGTAGCCTATAGGACGGAGATGTAGTTTAAATATTTTTTTGCTTATTGTTTCATATTACAGACAGTACTGAGAAAAAGAAGCTTAAATGTAATATATTCAAATGTAACAGTAAATTGTATTATATATTGTGACAGATCAATCTACTGTGTCCAGCAGAGAGCGCTGTCTCACACTGTTCTTCGTGCTGGCCACACTGAGACGTTATTTCAGACACAAAAGTTGCCTGTTTGTTTTCGAAACATTCAAAACCAATGAACTTTCGGTAGTTTGTGTGGGTAAAATGTCGTGCTGTCTCTGAAACGTGTGTGTGTGTTCGCCAGGTCCCTTCAGACAGGGGAGTCCCACAGCTATCTTTAAACATCCACCGCCTGTCACTTATTCCAGGAGTGTGTTTCTGAAGATCACTCCCACTCAGGGGAATCCACACACACACACACACACACACACACACACACACACACACACACACACACACACACACACACACACACACACACACACACACACACACACACACACACACACACACACACACACACACACACACACACACACACACACACACACACACACACACTCACACACACACACACACACACACATCTCAGTGACATTTCCATACAGGAAGAGCACTCTTTCTCAGTTCTGATGCACATGA